GAGAGAGAGAGAGAGAGAGAGAGAGAGAGAGAGAGAGAGAGAGAGGCGTGTACTGGGTAAGTGCCGCCGGGGTGCGCTGAGGCAGGAGTGGCAGTGATGCACAAGCGCCGACATCTGTCTCTGTCCCTCTAACCTGTCTCGCCACTAGTGTCACACACACTAAACTTCTCCCTGTCTGTCTTTCTGTCTCTCTCTCTCTCTCTCTCTCTCTCACACGCGCGCACGCGCAAACACGTACGTATCAGAGATGAACTCGCCGACATAGCAGTCGGCCACAGAATACATAGTAGAACCGCGCTGCGACCACCCGCTGCTATTTATCCCCATTTTATTTCATTTTATTCAAACAAGAAAACGGGATATTTGCTCATATTTCTCGACCGAGCGGCTCTCGCAGCGGCTGGTGTAGTGGGTGCCGTGTGACCTGGGATCGCAATTCAAATCGAGAGAGAGAGAGGGGGGGGGAGAGAGGGAGAGAGACAGAGAGATAGAGAGTCGAAAACCGGCCCTAAGCGCGCCACTGACTCGGCGGCGGCGGCTTAGTGAGCTAAAACTGCAGCCTGAATCCGTCGCAAAAATTATTTCGTACAGACATTGGAAAAAATTCGTTATTTTGCTATTTAAAATTTCTTCTTAACGTTGCGTGGTAATAAATTTCTCAAAGCCACGCATTCTTAATTTTTTATTTCTTAATTTTCTTAAGTACCTCCTCTCGTGTCTCCCCCCTTACCCCCTATGTCAGTTGGTATACGGTAACGGTCACGCCCTCTTGTACCGACTAAACGGTGCGCACGCACACACACTCTGTCTCTCTCTCTCCCCCTCCCTCTCTCTCTCACTCACACATACGTACATACGCCTTCCGTCGTCCCCGGTGCGCTTGGCATCCTGACATTGACCCGGCCGGCAGCGCGCGAGCGGGGCGAGCAGGGTGTTACCTCATCCCCCCCCCCTTCTCTCTCTCTCTCTCTCTCTCTCTCTCTCTCTCCGCGCTAACGACGTGCCGTTTAGTGCCGGTCATGAGCCTCGTCACCGGTGAGCCTCTCTGCACCGCTCCGCACCACCGGGTGCTGCTGCCTGCTAGCTGCTCCTCACCTCACCGACGTGGCTGTGCTCTTGGGGGGCGGCCCGGCCCGCCTGGGGGCGACTCGCGTGTGTGTGTGTGTGTGTGTGTGTGTGTGTGTGTGTGTGTGTGTGTCGAAAGAGCATGAGGTTAATGAGTGACAGGTGTACGAGTCGATCTCTCACGTGTGTGTGTGTGTGTGTGTGTGTGTGTCTGTGCTGCGTGCTGAAATAGTGTTGACACGGCGATATTCACTGTGCAGGGTGTGAGCTGTGCCCCACCCTCGAGGCAGCAGTGGCGGGCGTCTCCCCGCGACGCCGCCGCCCCCATACCGCCCCCGTAAGTAACTGTCGCACGCAGGGTGGCAGGGGGGCGACCGGGTGGCGGGGGTGTCCCAAAGACCCTTCACCCCATCAGATTGTGGCGGGGGTGGGCAGAGTTTAAGGGGGTCTGGCAGCAGATTTCGGTGCCAGAAGAGGAGAGGTACGGCGACGGAGACTGTGGAGCAGGCCGGAGAGGGGCTGACCTGCAGACGATACTCTGTGTGGAAGCAAACTGCCAAATTTGCAATGTTTTAAACCGATTTGACTTTATTTGTTTTTTAAGTAAAGACATTTCCCGTGGTTTTATAGATCAATATTTCCTATCGGAAATTTCCGTCTGACGTGACTCCCTATAAAAATATAATCAAAGAATGAACATTGAAAATTTACCCTGCGCGTCACTAGAGACTTCCAGCATCTCGTTATATCACCGTCGGAATAGGAAACGCCAGTTTTTTGTTTTTTTTTGTTTCTTTTAATTTTTTCCTGCAAAAGATTAGAGCAACCGGAGCTATGGCGAGCTGCTCTGCTCTGAGCCATTGGGGGGGGGGGAGGCGCGCTTGAAAAATAGGGGGAGAGACTATTTGCATTCAGCAAGAGAGAGGAGAGAGGTGCCCGGCTGGGGTTGGAGGGGTGGAGAGGGTTTGCACCTTTGTGCGAATAATAACCCCTCGAGAAAAGAAATAGGAAAAGAGAGGAGAGAAGAGAGAGAGAAAGAGAGAGAGGAAGAGAGAGAGAGATGCCTTAGCTCCAAAAAACACAAGGCGGTCAAAGAGGAAACTACTCGGAAAGCGCGCGGTAAGACACAGGTAAGGGTAAGAAAGCTTTCTATGAAGTAGACTCTTGGTTAATGTTTAGAGATATTCTAAGGAAAGCGGAACAACGGTTTCCCCATTTTGATGAGGCATAATTGGCGAGCAGCAAAAGTCGGGACACATCACCTTTCCGAACAAGCTTCACTGGAAACCATACGCACGATTGAAATGACTCTGCCAGTGCTTTATGTCTCTGACGGAGCCCCCGCCCTCAAGCTCCGGCGGAGGCGGCCCTGGCACGGAGATGATGATGATTGCAGTATCGGGTGCGGAATCAATGGCTGTTCGACAGCAGACGAGGCACCGCGCCATTCAAGGAATGGCGGGCAATTCAAATGCTCTTTTCTTCCTTTCTTCGTTTCTCTCCCTCCTTCTCTTTTCATTGCTCTTCTTCTTAAAACCACCAATACCATCTGCTGCTGCGGGCGTCCCCGAGGAATGTGCCTTCCCTTCCGTCTTCCCCGTGGTCCCACTTCTCTGGTCAAAATGCGACCCGGCGCGGGGAGCCTCGACAGGGGCAGTCGTGCCTGGCGGGCTGGCCCGCCCTCGCGATTGCAGGCGCTCTTCTGAGGCGCCTTGCGGTAGGCAACCCCACCGAGCAGCTGTGCCTGGCGGGCTGGCCCACCCTCGCTATTGCAGGCGCTCTGCTGGGGCTCCTTGCGGTAGGCAACCCCGCCGAGCAGCTGTGCCTGGCGTGCTGGCCCACCCTCCCTGTGGCAGGCGCTCGGCTGGGGCGCCTTGCGGTAGGCAACCCCGCCGAGCAGCCGTGTCTGGCGGGCTG